GTTTAGGGTTCAAGGATATTTAGGGTTTAGGGTTGTTTAGGGTTCAAGGATATTTAGGGTTTAGGGTTGTTTAGGGTTCAAGGATATTTAGGGTTTAGGGTTTAGGGTTTAGGGTTTAAAGTTTTAGGTTTTAGGGTTTGGGGTTTATTTAGGGTTTGGGGTTTAGGGAGTCTCAGGGCTCCTTCTTCACAGCCCAGGCTTAAAACTTCGAGGATTCTTAGAGCCACAGCACCTAAGTTACCGCAGGCTTTTCTGCAGGTTTTCCGGTTTTTCAGGCTTCCGCAAGTGGATTCCAGGCGCTTCACGGACAGGACTTTACTGTGGACAGGGGTAGAGGGGGGGAGGGTGGGCGGGAGGGCTGGTTCCGTTCTGGTGCCGCCAACTTTGTCTGAAACAAGGGCCCCGCCAGCAAAAGTCAAGACAGTGCTACGGGTGTTGGGAAGCCAGGATGATATGGAAGGAAACAGGGCTCTGAACCCATGCCTGCCATCAAAAGTCAACACAGTGCACATATGCCTCTGAGAATGATATGCAGGAGCCATGCAGAGGAAACATGCGACGCCTTGAGTTTCAAGGCCACATGATTCCTGAAAGTCATCTTCACAGGCATATCTGCACCATCTTGACTTTTGCTGGCAGGCGTGGGTTAAGAGACCATTCCACATAATCCTCGCTTCCGAAATTCAAGCGGTAACTTGCGAACCTGTGACCTCTGACGGCTCCTTCTAATACTTCAAATCCTGCAGCCTGAACCCCAGGTCCTGTAGAAGAAGAGGGTTTCGCCTTAGACGGCCTCTAGCCTCCAAGCCATTGAGTTCGCTGCTCAAGGCCCTAAACCCTATAAGCCCCAAACCCGAAACTGTTTGCGGGCACTTTCCTACCCTGCCATTCTAGAGACACCAAACCCATTCTTGCAGGTAAACACCCTACACCCGAAACCCTAAACCCTAAACCCTAAACCCTACCGGGTTTTAGGGTTTTGGGTTTAGGAACCCAACCTTGCAGGAGGATGCTTCGATGTGCTCTATAGCAGGATGTACAGCTGCAGAGATCTCCGCTTGAAGGCACAGCCGGGGGGATCGGATCGATGGGTTGGGCCTTGCGACTTCACACTCTGGGTTTAAGGTTTCGGTGTTTTGGGTCTAAGGTTTAGGGTTTAGGGGTTCAGGGTTTCGGGTTTAAGGTTTAGGCTTTAGGGGTTGAGGGTTTAAGGTTTAGGGTTTAGGGGTTTAGGGTTTGAGGGTTTAAGGTT